TTATGGTTTTTGAACATCACTGAATGTTTAGCTAAAATTTTAAGAATTTTTAATCCTCTATTTGTTTGTCTTTGCAGGCCCGTAGTTTCACTTGCGTATCATTTGTAAGTTGATCCTATAAACTTTTAGATAAACATATAGACGCTAATTGTCTTCTATTTGATGGTTATTATTTCTATTTTACCTCATTGGACGTTTTCCACACGTATGCCTCTGTTAGAGCAATTAAAAAAATCTGCTGTGGATGATCAGCAATGGCTCACGTACTAGGTGTTGTACTCATTTATCACTCTATTCGAGCTCACCTTTGCTCCAGTACTCAAATGGTAAAAACAACAAACTTTTCTACACAAGTGCACATTTCATCATAGCTTTAGTTTAATGTGCACATTCCATCTTACCTTGATTTCTTTGCTATTGACCATCTCTGGTTTAGTACCGCACTTCATCGTTCACTGCTATAGTGCTCTCTCATGATTTGGCTGATAAGTTTTTTGGATACATCATGAGATGAATGGAAATGCTCATCACAGGCATAACTTTTGCACTTTACAGGCTCCCTTTCTGGTCTTACGCAAAACCGTTTCTCAATTGCTGGTTAGTATTGCCATGGTTTAATGGAGGTGCACATGTATATGAGCATTTTGTGAGGCCAATGATCGTAAATCAGCAAGTTTGTGTGCTTCTGGTATATTCCAATGAAGGATGAATCAAGTAGGCATGATGATGTAATTTCAGCTGCACAGAGATACATTGAGTAAAATGGATCAAAAGCGTTTGAGAATCTTGTTAACAAGGTATTATCTGTTTCCTGTTAAATGTACCATTCTTATTTGTGAAAATGGTGGCCACTTGGCACCAGTTAGTTTGCTTGTGCTGTGAGAAGCACAACAAAGTGCCTCTACAGTCTACAACGATGATGATGGCCTAATGATTAATGATATTGCAGTGTGGTTTTTTTCTATGCATACTACGGAATTTTAATTACCAACTGTCATTGCTTTGCACATTTTCCACATTCTAGGCCCTTATTCCTTACTGAAAGGGTTATTACCAGAATGAGCTTTAATTTGGGGTGAAATAGCTGGGCTTTATCTTCAGAAATTTTGTAAGGACACTGCAACAAAGCTGAGGGCAAATGAGGGTGATCCGGAGTTCGACAGCTTGTGGTGCTCTTATGACCTAGGTTCACTATTGCAGCTTTTAGACATTATTCATTAAGTTTGCTTGTTGATCTTAACACAAAATTGAACAAAAGTTGGCTTGTTGAGTTTATATAAAACTGAATCAGAGTTTTTTTAGATGCAGGAAGTCTAATTTTCGGCCTTGGCATCAAAACCGAATAAGTTAGTTTATGAAAACCCAAGGGACACAATCTGTTAGATTAGCAGGTGTTTTTTTATCCCATTGCCCAAAAGGTGGAAACATCATATTACTATTCATAGAATCACAAGGCTTTTGGCTATCGCAGAGCTCAGTGAAAAAAATATTCCGTTTTATTTTTTATAAATTTTATCTTGTTTTGTATTTTACTCTTTTGTGTTTTGTTCTTTTTAATCAAATTCCCCGAATGATAGGATCATGGAATGAGGATCGAGAAATGTGGTACGCTTCGAAATGCTCCTTGAGAAAGGGTTTTTCACTATCGGGATGAAACTGATCCCTTTCCTGGAATGGAAACGCACATTCCCAGGACGTGGAACGTGGCAACGTACCACATTCTCAATGAGTGGCGCAGAGTGGTAGCGTGGAAAAGCACAAAGCAACCCAACAAGTTGCCCCTTCTACAACTTTTAGAGTTGCAGCATGGGAAGCACTAATGGGATTACACATGGAGGCAGGGCAGGAGATGTCCTACTTGATTTCCCCAAATGATTCAGTTGATCTGTCAAGATGATAGCAAATGGTCTAACGAGGACCATCTTAAATTTTGGGTTAATTCTATCAGAGGACTTGTTCCACTTCTGAATGGAGAAACATAATCTATTGAAGTGCATCTATCTATTGAATCACACACATGGATGACCTAGATATGAATGTTTGGATTGTGCTAGATATAGTTGATTTATTTTTTAGTTTTATGATTTATCTTTGTTTCAATACTTAGATTCATGGAATCATATTATCCGTTCCGTTCGTTAAAGAAATATCTGAGTGGCCATGGACAAAGCATGCTTGTTTTTCTAGATAACGATTTCAGTAACTGTTCCCATTTGTCACTGAAATCACATTAATCAAGACTGTGGACTTACTAAAACTATTCTACAGGTGATCTGTTCTCACTGCCCCAAAGAACAGGATGTAAGTTGTCTACCAAAAAGTACTCCTACGATATTGTTTTTCGGGAGCATTCGTCTGTGGCTGTACTAACTGCATGAAAACTGTTCATTTCCAACGGAACTGCTCCAATAGAACTGTTTATTTTTGGATGGATCTTCACCATGTTTCTGTTTCTCGATTATTAGGTAATGGAAACATTTTTTCCTGCAAAAACTTATAATTACAAAGCTGTGGATATCATTGGGGACTAATTGCCGGCAACGGTTTTCCGATGATAGATGCAGGAGTTACACCTATGTGAATATTATTGTTGTGTTGTCAATAGTTTGAGACTACAGTTAGGCCATTAGTGTAGAGAACATAAAATGGTTATCGTGCAAAGTTTGATAAGTTTAAGGTTGTAAAAATTTATTCAAACTATCCATCGAAGCATACTGCACTGTGTTGGGAGTTATGCTCATGCGAGGTACCGGAATGGTTTGCTTTCTCAAATTGAGTGTTTCTTATTCTTGCAAGCCTCGATCTCTCACCACTAAAAAGACTAAAAGTGGATACCATTTTGGTGCGACAATCCAATGTTGGGTCATCGATATGCCTGCGTGCGATCCCACGCTCCTGGCTGCATCGCATGCGCAGCATGCCTTCCCCACGCACAACTGATAATTCAAAGAAATGGTTAGTTCTAAAAGGTTGATGAATCAATTAATCTTGTTAGGGTGATATAAACTTTTATATGCATATGCACAAATGTACAATACTATAAATACATACCTTGGTGATTACAAACCATCGATGAGAATTTTAGCCATGCACAAAATTCATTTTGTAATATTGACATTCTGAACATCATGCTCGCATTATCGTTTTTTAACCATATAACACGTTCATGCTCAAATTATCAGGGCATTATTTGTTCCCGTTGCAACGCATGGAAATGTCTATACAGTAGAATTGGTGAGCCTGCGACGCCACGCTTTTCGTGACTATGTTAATTTCACGAACTTTGCTTTTTGATTAAATATCACTTTAATGTCAGTATTTAATTTTACAGTATTGTTATCTTATTGTGCGATCCGTGTGTTTTTAGTACAAAAATTTAGTTATCCCGTAACCACGCATGAAAAGGCTACCTAGTTTTGTTTATTCCTGGCTGATAAAGCACGCACCAGAGCCAATGAGCCATCGTGCTGGTTGGTTGGCGACTTCGTTCTGAGGATCAAATAATTAATTGATTATTAGCAAGACAAATCCCGGGCAACTTGTAGTATTGCGGTTGGCGGGCTGGGTGCGATCATTATCTACGTACAGTACCCTTTAATCATCATCTGAACAAAGCAGCATATATATATTAATGAAATAAGCTGATTACATTTAACTCCAACCTTGTAATTGAACTCCAACGTACAGAACTTGCCGAACAAACAAGGGTTTCTCGGCCAATAATCAGCTTAATTATATTAATAATCACCCTGTTGACTGATGCTGAAATTTAGTTTATGTCGGTGCTTATGCTGAAATGTTGTAACAAAAAATATTATTCAATAACTAAAAATAGTTCGAATAAGCTCAATGAATGGGTCAATAATACTATACGTACACTCATTTGCCAAATTAAAATTTATCAAGTTCTCGCCATATGCACACAAGCTGCCAAAACCTACAACTTATTCTCCAATTGCGAGAGTACTATCATCAAATACCGCTGCATCCATGCCAAGCTCTGGGCAGCGCAGTGCAGGAATGAACAAGTCCGTCGAGAGGAGGTTAATGGGAGCGCTAACGATGGAGCTGCGCGCATGCTCTGGGTGTGGGCGAAGAAGCTACAGCATCAGCAGGTGCGCTCAGTCTAAGGCCCTGATTCCCAAAATTTTCATCCAAAGTGTCACATCGAATCTTGCAAGACACGTGCATGAAAGATTAAATGTAGATTTAAAAATAAAACTAATTGTATAGTTGGGTGAGAAATCGCGAGACGAAACTTTCGAACCTAATTAGTCTATAATTAGACACTAATTGCCAAATACAAACGAAAGTGGTCAAAACCAAAAAAAAATTGCCAACTAAACACGCCCAAACATGTGGATCGGGAAAGGCTACAACCTCCCGACTTGGGCCGAATTCAGCCTAGACCACTTTCGCCCCGGCGTGCTCCTCCGCCTGGGCCTGTCCGGCCTGCTAGGCTGTCGGCAAAGTCCCATCTCCCATTTTTGGGAAATTCTGTGTGTGTCATTAAAAAAAAGATCGTGATATTCCGTGAGTCTCTGAAAAAGTTTCGCGGTCTTTAGCGTCACTGCTCCAATTTTTTTGTGCCCTCTATGTCACTGCCGTCAGTCTGGGCTCTAACGCCATCAAACTGCATGTGTGAAAAATCGAAAATACCCTTAAGTCTAAATATGCCATTAATTTTTTTAGCATCTTAACGACTTCAAATGAAAAAACTAAAAAGTTGTAGATCTTGTCGAGATCTATAATTTTTATATAAAAATTATCTTCATTTAATTCTGAAAAAAAAATATAATTTGATATGATTTGGAACACCGTGCGCACCCACGCGCTCTCGCGGCGGTGGCGTGGCCTCTGGACGGGGGTCGCCGCCCTGCCCTTCGACTTCAGCATCTGGCGAAAGCTTTGCAGGTCAGACACTGCCGCCGAACGGTACATTGCGTTCGTTTTTTTTTCTCGATCGGGCATATTGCCCGTTTTTTACATTGCGTTCGTCAATGGCGCTCTCGCGCTTCGTGCTACCGCTAAGGAACCCGCTTTCGTTTTGCAGGTCAGACGCTGCAGCGGAACGGTACATTGCCTTCGTCAATGGTGCTCTCGCGCTTCGTGCTACCGCCGCCAAGGAGCCCGCTTTCGTTGAGGACCTGGCCATCTCGTTCGACATATCTGAACAAGAAACAGGACAGCTAGTGCCCCTATCCGTGGAAGCCGCACAGGGATGGATCCGTTACGCTGTGCAGCACGCGGTGAAATCTTTCATCTTGAAACTGATGCTGCCATGGCAGTGGCGGTTCGACCTGGATCGCGATGACAACGACATCGAGCATCCTGTGATGACCCTTGACGAGATGGATAATCACTATGCAAAGATGGAGACCATGCATTTGAGATTGGGTGGGGCAGAACTTCGACTGCCTTCTTCCACAGTGGTCTTCCGTCCCTTATAGATCTTTCACTCCAAGACATAGAGGTCCCAGCCGGTGGTGGCTACCTCCTTTCCCGCCTCATGTCGTCGGCGTGCTGTCCACGCCTGCACAAGCTTCGGCTTCGGCAATTGAGTTTTGAGCTCTCTACGATGGAAGTGATGTTGCTTATTGAGGCTAACACACTTTTGGAGCTGTCGCTAGAGTCAATGTTTGAGCTGCAATTCTTGGAACTCAGGACGCCTAGTCTCCAAGTTCTACATATTGAGGACTCCTTCGATCTCAATGGGTTCACAGTCTCAGCTCCAAGGTTGGAGAATCTTAGGTTCTGTGTACAACAGCCTTTGCATATTGATGACGTTCATGGTCAATTGTCAAGTGTGGGAACTCTGAAGATTCAAATGTTCTCACATGGAGAAACCGACAATGAGGATAGAAACGATGCTAGCATTCATCTCCTGCAATGCTGTAGGTTAACTAGATGCCTTTGTCTTTTGAAATTCCAAAGGTATGTTGTATGCATTCAGAGAGACAACCCATGAAAATGCTAGCGTCTTCATTTATTTGTTCAATTCATGCACTTGAATCTGTTCTATGGATTCAATTTGCCTCAAAAATGTTAAAAGAATAAAATAAACATCCACAAAGTCTAATATTTTTTTTTCTGTCGATAATATTTTCTTTTCGAGTTTCTCATTTATGAGTTTGCTTTATCCTTTTCGATCAGACAAAGTATCAAACCGTCGACATAATCAAAGGCAGGATTCCGCTACTTCCTCATGTGACACACTTAGCAGTTGATATTAAACTATGGGAGCGACATTCCACTAGACCTGGCGTAGCATGTCTCCTTGCACAATGCAGCAATATTAAATATCTCAGGCTACAGCTATGCTACATCATTAAAAAGGTGAGAAAAATGTTCTTCATTAGTCAATATATACTAATTGGTTAGAGTTTTGTTTCTTAAATTTTAACCCCTGTTCTTCCATTAGTCCATATATACTAATTGTTAGAGTTTTGTTTCTTAAATTTTAACCCCCTTCTATTCATTCGTGGAATAATAATGCATATATCCTTCCATGGTCTTTACTGCAGAAGAACCAATCAGAATTGGATCTCTTATGTGATAATAACTCATGCCATTGGAGATCCCATGAGTTTTCTCTAGATCATCTCGAGAAAGTAGAGTTCAAGGAATTGATGGGAACTGATTGCGAATTCCAGTTCATTCAATCCATACTGACAAAGGCAACGGGAATTCGGAAGGTAACTATTAGTTTCGACCGATTCTACTGGCGAAAAGGCAGGAAGCATGCTTTTAAACTTATGCCACCACTAGACGGTGGCTGTGGACTATTTGCAAGTGGGCTAAGTTATCCTACAAGTGGAGACGTTGTCTATGAGTGGAGACTAGAGAGTAGTAGAGAGATTGCAGTTGTACAGACATGTTGAATTAGTGTTTCCATATCAATGTATGGCTTCAGACGCTTTGTAGATTCGTGCATTGTTTTGATCTTTATTATGTGTTGTTTTTTGCACTGTTTACTTGGATTAGTCACATCATTGTCCATAGAGTTCAGCCTGGGCGTTCGGTTTTTACCGACGGTTCGGTTCGGTTTGTTCGGTTTTTCAAAAATTCGGTTTCCAGAAAATGACCCCCGATCGGTTTGCTAAAATTTCAAAAACCGACCAATTTCGGTTCGGTTTTTTAGTTCGGTTTTTCGGTTAAAACCGAATAAACCGATGCAAAAAAATATCAGACAAGATTTACAATTGACAGTACAAACTTCGGTTTTTTAGTTCGGTTTCTCGGTACAACAGGAAAAAAAAAACAGGTTACAACACATTTTAAGTTTGGTTTTTCGGTATTTAGTTCGGTTTCTTGGTACAACAGGAAAAAAACAGGTTACAGCACACTTTTAGTTCGGTTTTTCAGTACTTCGGTTCGGTATGTCGTAGAAACCGAAACCGAAGCCGAACACCGAACTTCACAGAACTGAAAACCGAACCGAAAAACCGAACTACCGACTATTCGGTTCGGTTTCGGTTCGGTTCGGTTCGGTTTTCGGTTTCCGGTAAAAAAATGCCCAGGCTGACATAGAGTAGCAAAAGTGCTCCCTCCACAGAGTAACAATACTTGCTACAGGCAGTAGCTAAAATAGGCGGCAAACTTGCGCGTGTCCCTTGTGGCCGTAACTACACCCGTATGGCCGCTGAGTTTCAACAGGCGTGTCTGGTTGGTTAGCAAGCTCTGAGGATCAATGTGCTGGTTGGTTGACAATCTGTTTGAGGATCAATTAACTGATTATTAGGAAGACAAGCTCCGAGGATCAATTAACTGATTATTAGGAAAATCTTGAGTATTGCAGGTGGGCGGGCCGGGTGCCATACGCCGGAGCTGGCGGTTACGGCCCGTCGCTGCCATACCGGTATGTTGAATGAATAAGCTGATTGCATTTGACTCCAACCTTGTAATTGACAGTTTCAAAAAAAAAACCTTGTAATTGAACTCCAACGTACACAACTTGCCGAACAAACAAGGGATTCTCGGCCAATAATCAGCTTAATCATATATCAATACTGTACGTACACTCATTTGCCAAATTAAATTACCAAGTTCTCGCCATACGCAGGCCAAGCTGCCAAAATCATCAACTTCTTATTATTCTCCAATTGCGAGAGCACTTTCATCAAATACCGCTGCATCCATGACAACTTGGTGTATGTATGTGCGCAATCTGGCACCCGCGTACAATGAACACAACCAAATCGCCAGAACTATGGGCCTATTTGGTTTCCTAGCTAAATCCTGACCTGGCTAGGATTGGAGCATGGGTAGTGCAGGCCTGGCTCCAGCAACACAACATAAGTGAACCTTAGGTCAAAATCAACTGCAGCCAAGACATTTTGGGTGGTTGTGTGCTTCCTGCCCATGAAAGTAGCTATGTGCTTCTCAGGAACTCGAGCAAGAACATGAGTACCATCAATGGCACCAACACAGTCCTAAACAAAAAAGATACATCAACATCTAAGTCCTAGTAGTGAAAATGGAATAGGTGAAGTAAGAAACTCCAACCTTGAAGAAAGGATTCCATTTCCTGCTATTCTGGATTTTGGGATGGACAGAAGTAGGAGGAGCCACTATCATTTCATTTCTTAATTCACCAACTGCATAAAAGCACTTCCTGGAAATATCTACTGATGGTTTCAGTAGCCCTCTTGAAAGTGTGTTTGATGACCCTAAATCTTGTGTTATGGCCAACCACTAGAAGGAACATGGCAACCTGTTCTTCAATCTGGCAGTCAATACTATCCATGAGGAGGCCCCTATTATGAAACAAGTCGCACAGCTGGAAGAAAGGAGCTCTCTTCATCCTAAGAAGCTCCACACAGCTGCTGTCATCGCTGAAAACCTAGGGGTGCAGATATTTTATACTCTTCATATACCTTAAAATGCAAATTCTTTCTAAGCACACAAACTTGCCATCAGAGTTGAAAAATCAAAATCACTGAGTAACGACCTATTGATAGACAGCAAAAAGTATGGCACTGAACATAATTAGGATGTGTACCGCAAATGGATGGATGTGCTTGATTTTATAGAATGATATCTTGAGAGGTCAACGCGGGAGGTGCCTAACCCGAACAAAGAAAGGCAACTGAAAATTTCAGAGTAGTTCATATCTTGTGGCTGTAGCTGCTGGCTGTCAAATTTTTTCTTTCTAGGTGCCTGACATAGGTTAGCAAGCAATCTCATAAATGAGAACTCCCATGCAGAATGACGGAGATAGCCAATACTAAGAGCCTGTTTGGTTTCTACAGTGCCTCCTAAAATTCCTGTCACATCAAATGTTTGGACACATGCATGGAGTATTAAATATAGACTAATTACGAAACTAATTGCACAACTTGCGACTAATTTACGAGACGAATCTTTTCAGCCTAATTAGTCCATGATTTGACAATGTGGTGCTACAGTAAACTTCTATGTAATTAGGCTTTAATTGCACAACGTGGTCCATGATTAATTAGGCTTAAAAATCGTCTCGCAAATTAGCCCCCATCTATGTAATTGGTTTTGTAATTAATCTATATTTAATGCTCCTTATTAGTATCTAAACATTCGATGTGACATGAATTTTAGGAGCGACTAAAGAACCAAACACCCCCTAAATAACTCAACTTCTGAACAAATTAGGACTGAAACTAAACCTTTGTAATTGGCAGTGAGGTTATAAAATTCATTGGAGCCTACATAATACTTATGAATGAATTTTCATCATCACAAATTATATTTTCTGTACAGACAGACACATAATGGAAACTGAATATAGTTTGTTATGATTGAGAGGCCAAAATTCAGTTTTCGCTAAAAAACTATCATAAATGTTGAATGACAAGAGTATACATCAAGATTGGTGCTCAATTGAATTTAATTTTAACAATGTTAATGAAATCCCTGACACCCTTCCCCAGACCCTGTACAGAGCGAGAGCTCTCTGCACTGGGTACGCCCTTTAATGTTAATGAAATCCAATCAGTCATTAGAAGCCTATCAGTTGTAAACGTTGCAGAGCATATTTGAACAAAGGAGGAGATCATGGCATTTGAAGTTTTCAAGTGTATTTCACCATACCATTTATTGAAGCCAATTATTAGTACTACATAAGTCTAAGGGGGAGAAACACTAAAACATCAATCTGTCACAAGATAGGAAAATGCCAAGTGTCAAATCAGCAAGGGAATTGGCCAATATAAAAAACCTTATAATGAGCGGTTTGTAGCTTTACTGTCAAACAGAGTAGCATCAATGCCTATTTTAGGTAAAAGGAAAGGATATTTATTTCAGCTTACAGGGATATATATTTCCGATCTCAATTTAAAGGTTGTAGCTGTCAGTTTAGTTATTTGATACAAAGAGACTTAGAAACTTAGATGATCCCCATTGAACCAGCCTATTAAACTCAACACAAGATTTCATAAAAAACAGAAGGAACAAGATGCAGCACTAGGCCAATTCCAACAGGAACCGAAACAAAGTGGAGTATGTACCTGTTATTTACAGTGAGGAGTGGTTGCCTGCAGGAGATCAAGTCTCCAGTAACGCCATAAGGAAATCCATGTATAGGAAATTGGTAGGGTCAAAAAGAAGGTAGCAGTTTTCAGTATTGATGTCTCATGTATAGATGCAAGCCTATGGAAAAATAAAAAATTATTGCCAGGATTAGCATATGGTACATATAATGCTCATGCTCAGAACAAGGTTTCAATACAACAACAAAGAAATTATTCATAAATTAGTTTGAAGTCTACATATGTTTGATATATGGTAGCTTCTGAAAATGTTGCACCCTAAAAAACGAGGAAGAAACTGTTACAATCAAACAAGAAAACCTCATTTTATTGTATATGGCTCAACCTCATCAAGTCAGTAAATGTAAATAGTTCATCGAGTCGTATTTTATCAGTAGAAAAGTTCAGCTTGCCTCACTTCACTACCTTCTCTCATTTCCTGCAACAGTAAGACGCAGTCTAGAGAAAGCCAAAAAGGAATACCATTTTCCATTAACTTACAAGTATGCACCGGTAATTCTCTAAAGAATCCTTAATATGAGTACTTGTCAGAAAACATTAAAGCACTGAATTACACTAGAAAAAATCAGTTAACATACATTACTCCTATATGCTTATATTATGGTGCTTAAAACAGCAACTGCATTGGCTGGATCACAATACCTGATTTTAGAGCAGATCTGAACACACAGGTAGGAATTTGGAGCAGCATGGTTGAACTATGGTGAGCTGTAAATAGGTTATTTGCCCCATGTGCTAATTGAATTTGATATATGGTTTTCACTAAAACAAATATTTTAAAATCATGTCCTTTTTCCATTTTGGGTGTATGGTTAGGTACATTAGCAGATTTACTCACAAACACAAAACCTTCCAAAAAATACAAGCTTTGAACATGTTGCAATATAAAAAATTGGGAAATCAGTAAATAAAAAATTAAAAAAAACTTGCAATGACGTGGGTACAGATCAGACAACCACAGTAACTTCAGTTCTTAGTTTCAGGTTAACTTCAATTCTCAGTTTCACGTTAACTTCAGTTATCAGTTTCAGGTGCAATCCTAGACTCCTGGTAGTTATCCCAACAATGAAGACCTTAATGGGTTAAAGACCTATCTAACAAGTGTCTGAACTATCAAGTTGCAACAAAATTTCAGAGTTCAGACAAAAATTCAGAGTTCGAGCTTTATTCATCTGTTATCAGTGTGAAAGAGAAAGAAATCATTGGTGGGGGAGATGGATGGCAATGGGCTTTGGTTCTGCATGAATACTTGGTGGCGAAGTTAGCCCCCGAATCACATAATTAAGAACTGTAATCACATACCTCACAGCAGGTGGTGGCAATGCCACTGGTGCGCTGATGCCCGCTGGTTGTGGATGAGGAACTGAGGTGCGGCGACGTGGCAGGAATGGCGTCGGGGCGTCGCGGTGGCGGCGGCTGGGCGAGGTCGTCCGACGGCTTTGCGGTCGCGGGCGCAGGGGCCGCAGGCGCCGCGTCGCGTCCGGTAGCGGCCCGTCCGACAGCGGCAACGGCTTTGCGTGGTCGTCCGACGGCTTCGTGGTCACGGGCGCAGGGGTCGCAGGCGCCTTGTCGCGTTCAGCAACGGCCCGTCCGACGGTGGCAGCGGCTTGGCGAGGTCGCCCGGCGGCTTCGCGGTCGCGGGCGCAGGGGTCGCAGGTGCAGCGTCGCGTCCTGCAGCGTCCGACGGCTTGGCGAGGTCGTCCGGCGGCGGTTCCATGGAGTGAGACGAGCTGGGAGCTGGGCGTCGTGCGCGGGCGGCGGTTCTCTCGAGCGAGACAAGCGGGGCAGGGGCTGCGGTTCCTTACGGAGAGGGGAGGCGGCGTGGGAGAAACTTTTTTTTTCGAGCGACTTTTTTTTTTACCGTGGCTTGACCACGGGAGTCGACTTTTTTTTCCCGAGCGGCGCAATTAGGGAGGCATGCCGATTAGTTTTGCGGAGACGATAACATTTGGCTTTTTTAGTTGGAGAGACAGAGATAGCGATAGAAAAGTTTCGGACTCATCCAATCCCGAGAAAGAGGAATCTCGACGATTACTTGCAGCATGTAGCAAAATAGCTACTCCCTCATCAACAAACGACTCAGATAACAAAAAGAAAACTTGGAGTCCAATGCTGTGTGGACCCATTTTTTATTTTTACTCAGCCTGTTCGGCAGGCCGTAAACGATCGTGGATTATATTACTGCTGGCTGATTTGGTGTGAGAGAAAAATACTGTTCTGGCTGAAAATTTACGATCGTTCATGACCAAACGAACAGGCTGACCGATGCTTTTGTTGGGATCAGCCGAACCAACACTTGGCTTAGCATTAGTGTTGACAAAGCTTAGTCGCTAAACAAACAAGCTTGAAATGTAGTGATCGAAAACAAATTTCCAATTGGACCAACAACTAGTTACTGCATTAATTTAACATGAGCAGCAGGTTGCATGGATCGGATGGTTCATTTTGTGCAGGGCTCGTCGGGGCCGGCGGGGCCGTGGACGACGCAGCCCTGGCCGTCGGACGGCCCGCACACGCAGTTGCAGCCGGGGAACTGCTGGCCCGGATAGTTGGCGCACGTCACGTACGATCCTTCCACGCACAAGAAACCGCATTCGTCCACGTCGGGCATCCCCAGTATCAGAAATCCTAATCATTTAAATATAAGTTACACAAAGAAGGGAAAACCTTAGATGATCATTTGTAAATGATAACCTTCTGTCTGCTATTACTAATGAAAACAACGAAAAAGAAGAAGCCATGTGGAATAATCGTACCGGAGAAGAGGGCGACGACGACTGTGAGCGACAAGTTGACGGAGGCCATGCTTGCAGTTTGCAGCTACGTGCAGTACGATCACTATGTGTCAGTCTGCACTAGTACGACGAAGCACTGCACTTATCTCTCATCTCCAAGACGTTATTAGGCTTTTATATATACAACCAGCTGAGAGGGCTTAACCTCCGTCACAACAAGATTATTCCCAGATAGCATAGCAGGTGTATATGCTTTGTTACCGTTTTGGTCCCAATGTTCACGTCGTCGACGGCTCCTATGCAGGCTTATCTTCCGTCCGATGAACGCTGAAGCCAGCACGCGCCAAGCTCGTACGGGAAAACCCAGGAGAGCAAAAGGCCTAGCCAGGTGTAGTAGCAACCTCGAACGCCAGCTGAGGAGAATGTGCTCTGTTCTGGACTAGGCCAGCAACAATAAGACCGAGCCATCAAGAGGAATTTCCAGACAGCACCAAAAATTTCAGGACAGCAATAATGGTTCAGTCAGAAATTCTGAAGCACAGCTTACATGGAACTCACATACAGGTTCCAGTCAAAAGTCACAAGGACAATAGGTATAGTCACGAGATTTAGCTCAAATAGTTCTGGCACTAATTTAGTTTATAAACAACGACGGCTTCAAGCGTACAAGTCTCCGACACTGATGCTACTTTCCTACTCCTGGCTCTGCTCTTGATTCTGTGTAGCCTGCTGTGGAAATGGCGGCCTCTGCTGCTGCGTCGAAGGGCCTCTTTGCATTGTCTCCCTCCGCTCCACTTGGACAACCTCACGGCGTCTGTCGTAGCGAGGACGAGGCTTACTCCTTACCTGCTGTCTCTCATTGAATCGGAACTGAGGTCTGTGTATGACTTTGCCATCTACGAACAGATCGCCTGC